AGTTTATTAAGCTCTTCTATTTCTTCTGGTTGGGAGTTGATAAACTATTGATCCAGAAATTTTTCCATTTAGCAAGGTTATTGAATTTATTGGTGAGCGAGGGGAGCAGAACAGGCTGACTGACGAAGTACACTGCTGAGGGGAGCAGCAGGCGGGTCAGGAGAGGTCTGCAGCCCCATGTGGGTCACCTCGGGCCAGGGGTCAAAACTCAATGCTGAAGTGGCTTTAGCTTCTTAGTGTTGTGCTTTAATCCACTGTGCCACCAAGCGTTGTTTTTTAAGGTAAATAAATACTCTTTGTTCTAAATCCATTTTGTGTTTTTTAAGGTAAATACTGATTATTTTCCATAATAGGGTTCCTTTTTCTCCACATATCTCCAACATTTGACAGTGTGTTAATTCTTGCACGTTTGAGATATTTCATTGTGGTTTTAACCCGCATCATTAGTTAGAGAGCAATGATGAACATTTTTCCATGGATGAACCTTCCAGATAATTTCTTTGCTGAATTGCCTGTTCATATCTAACCCATTAATTAATTCGGTTGTTTTCTACTGTTGAATGCTATACATGTTCATTTTGTGAACATGAATTGTCTTTTCATCTCCGTATGTCCTGCCTGAATTCTTGTAACATCTTATAGTTCTCATCATTTACGTCCTTGGTTAGGTTACTTCCAATGTGTCTGATTCTTTCTGAAGTGATTGTAAATGGAATCATTTTCTTAATTTCTTTTTAGTCATTGTATATAAAAATGCTATGGATTTTTGTATATTGATTTTTGTAACCTGCCACTTTACCATATTTAGTGTTTCTAGTAGCTTTTTTTTTTTAAGATTTATTTATTTGTGCATACAAAACTGGGGTACAGGTCAGAGACTCAGGGGTGGCGAAAGACTTCACCAGAGACAGAGTGGGGGGCAGAACAGGCAGATTAACGAAGTACATTGCTGAGGGGAGCAGCTGGCGGGTTAGGAGAGGTCTGCTGCGCCATGTGGTCACCTCCGGGGCAAGCGGGAATCGAACTCATGCTGAAGTGGCTTTAGCTTCTTAGTGCTGTGCTTTAACCCGCTGCGCCACCAGGGAGGGCCTCTAGTAGCTTTTTGGTGGAGTCTTTAGCACGTGTGTATGTGTGTGTATCATCTTATCTTTGAATAGTGGTAGTTTGATTTTGTGTTTTCCAGTTTGGATTACCGTTATTTCCTATTGCTGTCTGATTGCTGTAACCAAAGTCTCTAATACTGAATGAATAGATGTGATAATAGTGGGAATCCTCATCTTGTTTCTGATTTTCAAGGAAACATTTATAATTTTTATTATGTTGTAGGTTTGTTATATATGGCTCTTATAATATTGAGGTACGTTACTTCTTTCCCCATCTTCTTGAGTCTATTATAAATGGGCACAAAATTCCTTATCAAATACTTTCTCTTCATCTTTTGATGTTATCATTATTTTATTTGTACTTTTGTTGATAAAACATATTATTTGATTAATTTGCACATGGTAAACCATCCTTGTATCCCTTGGATAAATTCTGTTTGATCATGGTGTACAATCCTTGCATATATTAATCAAACTCAATTTGGTAGTATTTTCTTGAAGATTTTTGCATCAGTATTCATCAGGACTATTGATCTGTAGTTTTCTTGTGCTGCTTTTATCAAGTTTTGATATTAAGGTGATGTTGGCACTATAAAATATGTAAGAAGCATTCCCTTACATATTTTTAGAAATAATTGGACAAGGGTGTGCGTAAGTGCTTCTTTAAAGGTTTGATAGAATTTGTAAAGCTGTCTGGCTCAGAGCCTTTGTTTTGTGGAAGATTTTTATCAGTTTATTAAGCTCTTCTATTTCTTCTGGTTGGGAGTTGATAAACTATTGATCCAGAAATTTTTCCATTTTGCAAGGTTATTGAATTTATTGGTGTATTAACTGTTCATAGTAATCTCCTTTGATCCTTTCATCTATTCTCTCTCTCTCTATCTCTGTCTCTCCATTTTTAGTTTTTATAGGCTGTAGTAAAGACAAACTTTCAAACTGCTGTCTATACCTGTTCAGGTTGCCAGAGAACTATCAACAAGAGGTATTAAGTAGAAAGGTTGTGCTTGCTGTAGGTGCCAGTGGATTATAATGGGGATCCATAGTGATCCCCTGTAGGCCAACTCTTCCGTCTGAGTATTATATAGTCTCAACCTCTGGGCTATATTTGAATACCAGATGCAACAGTGAACCATGAGTTTGGATTGTTACTGAAACAGTGACACAAGCTGGGTATTGTTCTCTTTTTCAGTACAGAATCTGAGCCTGGGGTGTTAGCTCCTGTTCTTAGGATTCTCATGCTTAAGTTCTGGTTAATGAAGCATTCAGTTGCAGTCACGGTTAGGGCCCATGGAGGAGCATGTATTGAAAGCATCACAGTCTCAAGCTGCACATAATAATGCCCTCTACTGCGAGGAGACATAGGCGATCCAACCTGGATCGTCCCACTAGTTAAGACCCCAGAGATTCTATGTCGGGTGCTTCAGCCAGTTACTGTCACTCTGCACCCCTACTACCATGGTTCTCTACTAGTCGGCCCTCTGTCCTGGATGCCAGCATTATGCAGGGTCACCCAAGTCCCCTAAATGAGTATGTGTCTCTAAGTTAAGTGACTGTAGAGGGGCTCTGTATGGAGCTACCGTATCTCTTGTGAGCTGTACTGCCGTGGTAAGGCTGCAAACATAGCTCAGCAAAGTTTATCTTACCCCTTTCTGGTAGACCATTGCTCCTGTTTTATGCTCTAGTTCTCTGCTTGTCTTTTAGGAGTTATTAACTTTGCTGCAATTTAATTGTGGCTGTGGAGAAGCTGAGCTCTGTGTCTGTACTGCCACTTACTGGACTCCAATATTTGTTACCTTTGATAGAGCAGAAAATCTCTCTGTGGGATATATACAGAATAGTGCTTTAATTTCATTCTTAACATTGAAGGGACCTCATTATTTTACAGCTGTATTTTTACCAACATACCTAAATTCATTTTCCATCAGCAACTTTTACCATTAATATCAGAAAAGTTTTATTTTCCAAATTAATGCACATCATTAAAATAGGTCAGATTTAAAGGAATAAAATAGATATTTGCTACACAAGCTTTTATAAAACATTTAATACTCTTTCATCTTTGAAGAAATCACTAGTAGTTTCTAAGCACTGTTTTTCAGTGGGATTAAAGCTATCTACTAACTGCTTTTTTCAGCTTGAATTGTAAAAGTTGTCTTTGGAGAACCATCATTACTGCATTGCTGGTCCTGTTTGGTACTTGTTAGGTCATGGAAGCCCATAGGACACTGAATACCTATTGGATTCTCACAGGTCAAGAAGGGTTATGAGCCAGTCTCATGGCATCTCCTGCCCTGCTTTTTCTTTGCCTCAGTCTGACATGTTATTCTAGCCTCACTTTCCCAAGGAAGGATGAGTTGGGAGGCGTTAGAATAGGCTCCAATGATCCAACATCTTTGTCTTCCAACCTGATATAAGTTAAATGATTCATTAAATCAGAACACAGAAAATAACTTTACTTGAATGCCCTGATACAAATTTTTTATCGCCGTATAAACAAAATCTTTTGTCAGTGTTACACATGAACTGGTAATTTGTGAAACAGATCTTATTAATTTTTTAGACTGTTCTTTCAATTTTATGAAATTTGTAAATATTTTGGTCACTGGCAAAAAAAAAAATATATCTGCTCAACCACCATATCCTATGCCTGCTAATGAACCCTCTCAGATAACTGTTTAACTGTACTTCTGCAATTCATTATACTAAAGGGGAAGTAACTTTTTTGGTTGACAAGTCAGAGACCTAAACCCAGCAGTAATCTCAGAATCTTGTTTTTCAACCAGTAGTTGGAAATATTATCTTATTAGGCAGCTGCTTACTGAGGACACATGTTAGCTACTAATTATTTTTGTATCAAAGTCTTGCCACATCTTCTCTAAAGACATAGCAAGAAACAAACAAAAAGGTAATATTGAAAGTAAAGAAATTAAAATTTCATATGGTTATTCCA